CCCCGGGATTCGCAGGTTGCTGCCACGTCCCTGGAAGCGCCTTTCCCGCCAGCTGCCCCCCCAGCCCTTTCCTCGTCACCCCCTCCGGACCCCTGTCCTCCCCCGAGCTGGCCCTGCGCCCCACGGCCGGGTCTGCTCCCTCCCACCGCGCACCAGCTCGGAGGCAGCGGGTGCTGCCTGAGGCTGGGCTCTGCCTGGAGCAAGGGCGATGCAGAGCAGATGCCCCTGTGCCGGGGGCAGCCCCAGGGTGGGAGCCCAAGGCAGACGGGGAGCAGACAGGGCCTAGCGCAGACACAGCGGGGGCACTGGCCAGGCTCAGCTGCCCCGACTCCACCCCAGAGCTGGATGCATCTCCTCCCTGTGCAGGGGAAGGGCCGTGGCCAGGTGCTGGGCTGGCACAGCTCTGCTGTGGGGATTTCCAGACCTACTCCCCCCTGCTGCTACCCATGGACTTTGTCCCATGGCCAGACCTGCCCCGCTTCCCCTTGGAGGCAGTGGGCACTGGCCCAGGGCAGCTCTGGCTAGGGCCTGGCTGCTCCTAATGAGCCCTGATTGCCCCCAGGTGACGCTGGCTGCCTGCCCAGGCAGGGAGCAGGGCAGGGCAGGGCGGCCTGGCTGGGAGCATGGGATGGGGCAGCCTCCTACTCACCTGGGTCTTGCTGCAGGGGTGGGGCAGGTAAGTCTGCCCCTGCCCCGGGGGGCGGGCAGAGGGGTACCCCTGACTTTGCCGGGCTCCCCAGTGTCATATTGAACGTATTATTTGAATACCTATAATAGTTGCCCATTAGCCAGTTTAGGAAAAAGACAAGATTCATCTTCTCATCTAGGCCGTTGTTTTGGCCTACGTGTGGAAGGTCCTGACTTTGCTCAAAGTCTTAACTCTTGAATTTCATCTTTAGAGGCCTTTAACAAAGTTAACCTAAAAATGACCCTTAAGCAAACATCCCGAGAGATCAAACCCTTAGGGTCTTTGAAAAAATTGGAAAGAAAAGGTCACTGCCGTGGTGTGGAAGTTCCCCAAAGTAATTGAAATGGTCAAGAAAATAAACTGATTACCAAGTAAAAGAATCTGTTGAGCAAGATCCGAGCCCAAATTTGGGAATAGTGACAGGTTTGGGTAGGAGGGGCCCAAGACACAACTCACTCAATAAAAACTGTAACCTACTGTCCCCATTTGGAGGTAACCTCACTTGCAGAACAGCCCAGGGAAGGAAGAATCGCACGTGTAGGCCAGATCAGACTGATCACCTGAACCACCCTCTCCGTGGTAAATTGTATGGGATTTTTTCTATTCCATAACCCACTAGAGACACTTGTGTCATGAGGAGAGCATCCAAGTGACCCAGCACATCATTCGGATGGGGAGGGGTAAGAAAGCCTTGAAAGCGCTGGAGGTGGGTTAGTATCTGGCTACATGGTCGGCGGGCTTGCTCACAGACCGGAATTGCTCCAGCGTTTGGTAAATTAGGACCAGAGACTGCATAAGTCTCCCTGATCACTTTATTCTGCTCATGCTGCTGTCACCAGTGAGCTGGGTGCACGAGCCGACTTGCGTGCGAGGCTGCTTGGGGTGGCTGGATGCTGCCTGGTGCAAAGCGAGTGCTGCGAGATGTGGGGACAGACTGGCCCAAGGGTAGAAGCCAACGTGGGGCTGGGTCAGGGCAGCTCCGTGGTGGGCACTGGAGAGCACCTGTGGCCAGGGCCTATCTCCCAGGGCCTGGGACAGTCTGGGGGTGGGTGAGGGCTGCTTTAGGGACAAGGTGCAGGATGCACGGCCCCCCAGCATCCACAGACCTGTCAGCAGCAAACAGACCTGCACCGCGGAGCTCTATTGGGAGCAGGGGGCGGGACAGGAGGCTGCGAGCGAAGGGCCCCAACGCGGCCGCAGCCAGGGAGAGGGGAGCGCAGGGGTGGCAGTGCTAGAGATGGGCTCCCCGGCCCCCAGGCTGGGCGCAGGGCAAGACGAGGCGTAGGAGAGAGCCCGGGGTTGTAGCTGGCTCAGGCACTGTCCACACACGTCTCCTTGTCTGGCTGGGACTGGGCCTGGGCTGTGGGCACTGAGATCACCAGCGGCTCCGCACCTGCTGCAGCCTCCGCCTGGTCCTGCGGGCAGAGCAAGGCACGTCAGCCCCCACCGCAGCCCCATGCACAGAGCCCCACGCAACAAAGGGACTCCCGCAGAGCCCTCAGCCACGAGCAGCCACAGTGCTGGCGTCCACCCTGGAGCTGGTGGCCAGGGGCTCTGGGGCACAGGGAGCCCGTGGACACTGACAGCTGGGGGCTGCCGGGAGACCCCCGCCCCACTCTCCCCCACAGCACCCGCTGGCACTGACATCCGCACCACTCCCCCAAGCGGGGTTGCCCCTGCTAAGACATGCCCCTACCCCTGCCCTGCAAAGCACAGCAGGGCAGGACTCCCTGCAGCGTGAGCCCTGCCTGGGCCATGGCGCCATGGGCAGGCCGGGGCTCCCCCCAGAGCCCCAGCCCAGCTGCCCCAGTACCTGCGTCCGGCAGCAGAGGATCTGGCAAGTGCAGACGAGGCAGCAGGCGGCAATGACGAGGGCGCCGGCCGTGGTCACCAACAGCAGCACCCGGACGCCCAGGAACAGGTTCTGGGGGCAGAGGGCATGGGCAGCGCCCACTTTGTCCGGAGCCCGGGCGCCCGCAGGGGCCAGAGCTGAGCCAGCTCCAGGGCTGCAGCGGGAGCAGGAGCCTCGAGCTGGGGGCTCGGGGCAGCAACAGGGCAGCACCTCTGCTCCGGGGGAAGCCCAGGGGACAGAGAGGCTGTGGGGGCTGCTCCCCATGTCCCAGGCCCAGGGACAGGATCTCTGCAGAGCCCTCCCAGCCCAGTCCCCGGGGTGCTCTAGGGTCACGGGCCCCTCACACATGGGCACGGGAGGGTGCAGGGTCATGCACCCCGCTGCTGCCCCAGACCTCGGGGCAGGACCCAGGTGTCCTGGCACCCAGCCCAGTGCCCCTGGGCCTGGCCACTGTGGGCTCCCATGGGCAGAGGCCACAGCACAGGCACACTCAGCCCCTCAGGGGGCTGCCGACATCCTGCCCGGGCATACTCTCACCTTCATCTGCACCTTCTCCTGGCACTCCCTCCACGTCCAGCCATCCGTGTACGAGCCGTCAAAAGGAGACTTGCTGCACGGGGTGCTCGTGCCCCGGCGTGACTGCACCACCTCGATCCCCCCACACACCACGGCCACAGTCGCCCCTACCACGCTAGCCAGGGCCAGGCAGGCTGTCAGGAAGAGCTGGGGGAGTCGCGGGCCTCCAGGTGAGGACCAGCTGTGCGGGCACAGGCCTAGCAGCACGATGGCTTCCACCTACCCGTGCTCCCCCCAGGTCATGGCCCGAGCCCCAGAAAGGGAGCTGGGGGAGAAACCAAGCCAATGGCTACCCTGTGCGCCCCCGGCTCTCCTGTGCTAGGCTCCCGTGGAGGGGACGGGTGTCCAACAGCCTGGCCAGTGCCCAGGAGGAGCCCGGTGCAACGTGGCACCAGCACCAATGGCTGCAGCTGCCCCCGGGAGAGCTGGAAGAGCACCGTGCCCCCACTCCCCCGCATACATGGGGTGCACCGAGCACCCCCCAGCTCCGGGCAGGGTCCCTAACACCAGCCTGGAGGCGATGCTCCCCTGGACGGGGCCATGACTCCTGCGCCAGGGACTCTGCACCTGGCGTGGACGTGTCACCTGGTCAGGGGGAAAAGGGGGCCCTGGGGCTCCCCTGCATGCCCCCCTACCTGGAGCCCCTGGACACCCACAGCCCTGGCTCCAGAGCCCCCAGCACTCACCAAGCAGCCCGTGCCGTGTCTCCTGCACAGGACGCAGAGCGCACCCAAGCCCACGAACTGGGGGAGAGAAGCTGGTGTGAGCGGTTCCTGGGAGAGACACGGGCACCGGGCAGACGGCCGTGCTGGTGGTGCCCCCAAGGCAGCTTGCCCTCCAGTGCCCAGACCCATGTTGGCAGAGGGTGCAGGGCACAGGTCCCCCTACACTAATGGGCTCTGGGTGAACTGCAGCTCCCGTCGTCCCCAAGCCTCCCCCATGCGATGCCCAGCCCCGGCCCACAGTGCCCCGCGGGGCTGCCCCCCGCACGACGGCCTCCCCCAGCCGCCGGCACTCACCAGCGCCCCTGTCCAGAACGGGGACCGCAGCCAGATCACCGTTGTGTAGGGCCCAAAGCAGAGCGCCACACCCAGCGCCACGCACATGACGCCCAGCACGATCTGGGCCACCTGGCCAGCAGCACGCACAGAGCAGGACGTCAGGGGAGGCCACGCGTCCCGGCTTTGCACTCACCTCCCTCCTGTGTGTGCCCTCCCGCACACCCAGGGGGGAGTCGAGGCTACAGCTCTAATGCCTGGCCAACAGCCTGCGTGATCCTGGGCTAAAGGCTAAAGGCAGCGAGGCCTGGCCTTGCCCTTCCTGTCCGTCTGTCTGCCACTGGGCACAGGCAGGAGGGAGTCAGTGGCCATGCTGCAGTGTGATCAGGCTGAGGCCATGCCCTGTCTAAACCCCCCAGTCCACACCAGTCTGAGCAGAGGAGAAATCCCCTCTTGCCCTTAGTGCAGCGTCGGACTGAGCTTGAGCGCAGGGGCAGGACCCTGCAGGGTTGGTGCCAGCAGCAGCATTGGCACAGCCCCATCCCCAGCCAGGGCTGCAGCAGCACCCAGCACCTCAGGGGAAGTTTAAACCCCCAACACATGGTGCAGAGCAGTGCGGTCTCCATCCTGGGACCTGGCGAGGCAAGGGACCCCCTGTCCCCCCACAGGCCCTCGCTCTGCCTGCTTGTCCCAAGTCACCCCAACTCCAGGCCCCGTCCCACCAGCCCCAAACCTACCCCCAGCGCCTTCATCTCCTGGACGCAGCAGCTGCGGGCAGGGCCTGGGCCAGGGGCCAGCCAGGCCTTGACCTGGTCCAGCCGCACGGCCCGCAGCGCCTTGACCAGGTAGTGCAGCCACGACTCACGGCTGACGTGGACGTGGACGATGGGGTGGTCCGCACCTGCCGCCGACACCTCCAGGCCACTCACCCGCACCACGGTGGTGGGCATCGTGCTCCTGTGGGAAGGGGCAGTGTGACAGCACCCCTGCCTGTCGCAGCACCCCACGAGGCTGGGGTTTGGCCGGGGCACAAGGATCGGGGTTCCCGTGTCCTCCCGTACCCTGTCCTGGTTCCTCCAGGTGCCGCCAGGCCGGGAAGGGGCTCCCCTAGGCAGGCACAGACGTGCCCCGGCAGCAGGCCTCCAGCGGCAGCTCTGGGGGAAGCTCAGGCGGCAGCTCGGATGCCTGGTGCCCTCCCTGTGGGGCGGGTAGGGGCAGAGCTGGGCCGCGGCTCCCTCCTCTCCTGGGCCCAGCAGCAAGGGGGGAGCAGGGTCCCGTCTGGAGCCCCGCGCCCTTCCCTGGCACTTTGGGGCTCGGGCAGGGGAGGCCCGCGGAGCAACCCCAGCCCCGAGCGGCGGCAGGAAAGAGCCTCCCAGGATCCCAGGGGAGCTGCCAGGAGCAAAGTCCCACCCCTGGCCCAGCTGGACCGGCCAGTTTGTGGCTGGGGCGGTGCAGGGTCCAGCCCCGCGCTCCGGAGATGCTCAGAGCAGCCAGCGGGGCTAGTCCTCAACCTCCCCCATCCTCCTCTGGGGAGCCCCCCATGCTGGGGTTTTCCCCAAGACCCCCAGGCTCGCGGGGGTCGGAGAAGGCAGGCACTGCTCCATGTGTGCACAGCGCAGGAGGCGGGAGACTCGCAGGTGCCGGGAGGAAGGCGGTAATCCAAACCAGTACAACATAGGAGCTGCTATTGACTGGGTCAAGCCTAGGTCCTTCCTTGCCAGAACCACCTGTCCTGGCTCTGCGACCTCCGTGCCTTTTCATTTACTGCCCATCTGCAGCTGCACCAAGCCCGGGGACGTCCTGCTCAACCTCGCCCAGCTGGCAACAGCCCTGCCCAGAAAGGAGGCTCTGGCCAGAGATCCCTGGGGATGGGGGTTGCTTTCCCATCCCTTCTTTGTTCATGTCTCCTGGCAGAGTTTTAGTGGGCCACGTCCGCTGCTCCTTGGACTCACCTGAGGGCCAGCGGGCTCTGCTCAGTGCCCCCTCGCTGCACTCGTTTTGAACCTGTGCCCCTCACTCCTGTCCCTTTTGTGTTTTTTTGTTGTCCTGAGTAATCAGTGATAGGCCCCGAGTGGCCCCATCACTCACCTTGAGGAGCTTTGGACATCCTTTCATCTCTAACAGAGAGCCCAGGCTCTCTGGCCTAGAGGCCTGCTCACTAGGGTTGTAGCCACAGGGCTGCAAGATCAAGGCTGGGCAGCAGCCCTAACCCCTCCCCAGCCTAGCCCAAAAGTATGCAACTGGTACACCAGGCCCCCTTGGCCTTTTATGACTGCACCCAAGCTGCTAATGAGGCCTCGTCCTCCCCTGCAGCCTCGTCCACAAAACACTGGTTTATCAATCAACAAAAATATATGCGTACCGTCAGTCAATGGCTTTTAACCACAAAACCCAGGAATTAAAGAAGGCAGCAGGCTAGCTTACATTTTCTTCGTGGCTTGGTGCTTCTGCTTCCCCCTGCCTGCGACGCGCCGCGCCTCCCCGGGGCACAGCAGTTCCCCTCTCACAGCAGTCGGACCAGCAGCCAAGCCGCTCTCTGGAGCTCTCTCGTGCACAACCTCCTTCCCCTTTGGCTGCTGCCCCACACTGCTCGCAAGCCCAGGGGTTTTATAGCTCTAGCCTGCCCCCTTCTGGTCACCTGACTAGCTGGCCCCGCTCAGCTTTTAACCCCTACCCTGCCACAGGCTGTGTCTGGAAAATGTTGATCTTAAAGAGACTGACCTGCCTTCTGGTAACAGGGCTAGGGTTCCCTGTTACACGCCCTGCTCTCTTCTCTTCTGTCCGGGATCTTCCCTTCACCTCTCAACCCTCTTCGTCTTCATACTGCCATGAGAAGAAGTCGGCACTTACATTTTTGGTCCCTGGACAATGCTCTACCACAAAGCAGTATGGTTGAAGACTGAGAGTCCATCTCATTAGCCTAGCATTATCTGTCTTCATGCTTTACAGCCATTGCGGTGGGGCGTGGTCCGTGATTAACGTCAACTTCCGTCTGAACAAATAATACCGGAGTGTTTCTATGGCCCATCTGAAGCCAAATAGTCTTTCTCTATTGTAGTATAATTCCTTTCAGATGGATGCAACTTCCTCCTTATGTATGCTATTGGACATTCTTCCCCTTCCGCCATTTGGATCAACACTGCACCAATAGCCAAGTTTAATGCATCTGTCAGTATCAAAAAGGGTTTATTGAAACCTGGTGTATATAGCAATGGCTGTGTACAAAGTGCATCCTTCAACTTTTGGGATTTCATAGATTTATAGACACTAGGGCTGGAAGGGACCCCGGAGGATCATCGAGTCCAGCCCCCTGCCCCAGGGGCAGGAAGTCAGCACAGGGATCATAGGATCCCAGCAGGATAAGCATCCAAATGTCTCTTGAAGGCATTCAAAGTAGGTGCTTGAACCACCTCTGGCAGCAGTCTATTCCAAACCTTGGGGTCTCAGACAGTAAAGAAGTTCTTCCTTATGCCCAGCCTGAAACGGTCATGGAGGAGTTTGTGACTGTTTGACCTTGTCATCTCTTGGGGCGCTCTGGTGAACAGACGTTCCCCCAGATCCTGGTGAGCACCCTGATAAACTTGTAGGTGGCCACCAGATCACCCGAGCCTGCGCTTTTCCAGGCTGAAGAGTCCCATGGCTCTCAGCCTCTTGTCATAAGGCCTGTTATCCTGACCTCTGATCACGCTCATGGCTCTTCTCTGCACTCTCTCAAGCTTCTCCACGTCCTTTTTGAATTGTGGGGCCCAAAACTGGACGCAGTACTCCAGCTGCGGCCTCACCAAGGCTGAGTACAATGGGAGAATGACATCTTGGGTTTTGCGTGAGAAGCATCTATGGACGCAAGCCAGCGTTTTGCTCACTTTACTAGCCGCAACATCACATTGAAGGCTCATGCTCATCTTGTGGTTAATCCTGACCCCCAAGTCCTTCTGGTCCATAGTGATAGCCAGGTGAAGAATGCTCCTCCTATCTCTGGTTTCCATCTCACCTTGGTTGGGGCTCCAGCCCTTACCATCTCGGTCAAAGGCACCACTAACTCTGCAAAGTGAGGAACACATTTCCTATAATAATTTGCCAGTCCCAAGAAAGCCCTCACTTGTTTCTTTGTTTGGGGAGTTTGATACTTCCTTAATGCCTCTGCTTTATCCAGCAGCTGTCGCACCTTATCCCTTCCTACCTGGAACCCAAGGTACCGTGTTTCCTCCTTCCCGGTTGTGCACTTCTTTGAGTTGGCAGTTAACTCCGCCTTCCTTAGGTCTTGTAATACCTCACACAGTGCTACTAAATGCTCTGACCAATCTGCAGTATACACAATAATACCATCTATATAAGCTGTGGTGTAACCCCATGAGGGGCTAAGACTCTGTCCATCAGCTGCTGAAACGTCGCGGTGACTCCATGTAATCTGAATGGCATGTGTCGGAAATGGAATATGCCCCATGGTGTGGCAAATGCTGTCTTTTCTTGGTCCTCGGGTGCTAAGGGGACCTGCCAATAGCCTTTCCTTCGGTCCAAAGTGGAGATATAGCTGGCTTGCTCAATGTTCTCCACCATTTTGTCTACCCTCGGCATCGGATAAGCATCAAACTTATCCAACGCACTTCCTTTCCGGAAATCAATACAGAGTCTAATTTTTCCATCTGGCTTCAGCACTACCACGATAGGGCTACGCCAGTCACTTCGGGATTCTTGTATTATGCCTTTTTCTAACATCATCTTGAGCTCATCTTTTATATGCTTCTGAAGTTGTTTTGGGATCTGCTTCCAGTTTTCATGGATCACCTGGCCTGGAAGCGTCCTTATTCGATGCATCACACCCCGAGCTTCCCCGGGGACCTCTTGGCACACATCTCCATACTCTCTCACCAATTCCATTGCCTGTCATGTCTGCTCTTCAGATAGTCGTGGAGCCTCTTCCACTTCACTTCTCCCAACCGCCTCCCTCAGGGAGGGTCCCAGATCCAGTTCATCCAGTTGAAGGGTCAAATATAGGCACTCTCATTCTTGCCATGGATTCAGCATCTTAATGTAGTATACTTGTTTTTTCTTTTGCCTGTCTGGCTTATGTACTTCATAATCTACAGGCCCTACTTGGTGTGTTATTTCAAAAGGGCCCTGCCATCGTGCTAGTAACTTACTCTCCTGGTCCACTTAGAGAACCAGTACACTGTCTCTCAACTCAAACTTCCTTTCTCAAGCCCCTCAATTATAACAGGTTGTTTGTTGCCCTTGTGCCTCCCTAAGATTTCTTAAAGCTTCTCTCCGTGCCACTTCCAGGCGTTCTCTCGGTTATATCGTGTATTGAACCAGGTTCTGATCTTTACTTAGTTGCTCTTCCCAACTTTCCTTAATCAAATCAAGGATTTCTCTTGGTTGCCGTCTGTATAATAGTTCGAAAGGGGAAAACCCTGTTGAGGCTTAGGGTGTAGCAGAAAGCCCCCTTTTCCTCTTGCCTGCATTTGCTCCCCCCTCTTTGGATATGTTTCTCCTCTTCTACCTTTTCTTCCTTCCTCTTTCTTGCACTGTAAGATAAGGAATTGTGTTTTAAAGTTTGTATGTGTGCATTTTGTATCTCCCCTTGTATTTTGGTATTTTTACCTATTTGTGTGCCATGGCATTACTCTTGTAGCTTATATTTTATATTCCTCACCGTTTAACTAAATGGTTTGGTTTCAGAAGTAAGTTATACATTGTAACAATGTTAACAAGGGCAGGAATCAAACTGCAGCTTCCCTGTATCAGGCGGGCCCCTGAAAGAGCGATTGAATGCGTAACACAGTAGCAGGGAGCTATTAACACCTAGGGAAACCACAGATCAACCAATGGAAGAAATCAATAGGAGACAATGTAGCAACCGCGAATTCTCTAAACGTCACTGATCAAGGGCTAGAAGCCCTGGTCTGAGATAATCAACGCCGGGGACCAACTTTTGGGCTGAATATCTCCAGATCGACTGCTCCCAGAGCCATATTCAAAATTCATCAACTGACTCCCAAACCTGCACATACATGCGGAAGACCCCAGGGGCTGACAGATGCCATGAAGTAGCCACCGAGGGGGAAGTCCCACGAGGGTCAACGACCCCTGGATTGGGCAAACCTGAAAACTGGGAAGTCACCAAAGTCTGCCAAGGACAGATAAAAAGCAGTAAAAAGTGACCCTCAGCGGCGCACGCTTGATCTCCAACTTGACCAGCACCCGACCTGTCCAGCCAGAAGGACCAGCCCGGGACACCCTTCTGGGG